CAGGGCAGCGTTTCGTGGCCCCATAGGGAGCTCCACCGAAGGCCCCAGTGGGGGTGTTCGCATGCGGTTCCCCCACCCAGGGCAGCGTTTCGTAGCCCCATAGGGAGCTCCACCGAAGGCCCCAGTGGGGGTGTTCGCATGCGGTTCCCCCACCCAGGGCAGCGTTTCGTGGCCCCATAGGGAGCTCCACCGAAGGCCCCAGTGGGGGTGTTCGCATGCGGTTCCCCCACCCAGGGCAGCGTTTCGTGGCCCCATAGGGAGCTCCACCGAAGGCCCCAGTGGGGGTGTTCGCATGCGGTTCCCCCACCCAGGGCAGCGTTTCGTAGCCCCATAGGGAGCTCCACCGAAGGCCCCAGTGGGGGTGTTCGCATGCGGTTCCCCCACCCAGGGCAGCGTTTCGTGGCCCCATAGGGAGCTCCACCGAAGGCCCCAGTGGGGGTGTTCGCATGCGGTTCCCCCACCCAGGGCAGCGTTTCGTGGCCCCATAGGGAGCTCCACCGAAGGCCCCAGTGGGGGTGTTCGCATGCGGTTCCCCCACCCAGGGCAGCGTTTCGTAGCCCCATAGGGAGCTCCACCGAAGGCCCCAGTGGGGGTGTTCGCATGCGGTTCCCCCACCCAGGGCAGCGTTTCGTGGCCCCATAGGGAGCTCCACCGAAGGCCCCAGTGGGGGTGTTCGCATGCGGTTCCCCCACCCAGGGCAGCGTTTCGTGGCCCCATAGGGAGCTCCACCGAAGGCCCCAGTGGGGGTGTTCGCATGCGGTTCCCCCACCCAGGGCAGCGTTTCGTAGCCCCATAGGGAGCTCCACCGAAGGCCCCAGTGGGGGTGTTCGCATGCGGTTCCCCCACCCAGGGCAGCGTTTCGTGGCCCCATAGGGAGCTCCACCGAAGGCCCCAGTGGGGGTGTTCGCATGCGGTTCCCCCACCCAGGGCAGCGTTTCGTGGCCCCATAGGGAGCTCCACCGAAGGCCCCAGTGGGGGTGTTCGCATGCGGTTCCCCCACCCAGGGCAGCGTTTCGTAGCCCCATAGGGAGCTCCACCGAAGGCCCCAGTGGGGGTGTTCGCATGCGGTTCCCCCACCCAGGGCAGCGTTTCGTGGCCCCATAGGGAGCTCCACCGAAGGCCCCAGTGGGGGTGTTCGCATGCGGTTCCCCCACCCAGGGCAGCGTTTCGTGGCCCCATAGGGAGCTCCACCGAAGGCCCCAGTGGGGGTGTTCGCATGCGGTTCCCCCACCCAGGGCAGCGTTTCGTGGCCCCATAGGGAGCTCCACCGAAGGCCCCAGTGGGGGTGTTCGCATGCGGTTCCCCCACCCAGGGCAGCGCTTCGTGGCCCCATGGGGAGCTCCACCGAAAGCCCCCGTGGCGCAGTTCGCATGCGCTTCCCCCACCCAGGGCAGCGTTTCGTGGCACCATAGGGAGCTCCACCGAAGGCCCCAGTGGCGCAGTTCGCATGCGGTTCCCCCACCCAGGGCAGCGCTTCGTAGCCCCATAGGGAGCTCCACCGAAGGCCCGCCCCGGTGGCGCAGTCCGCATGCGCTTCCCCCATCTAAGGCAGCGCTTCGTGGCCCCATATGGAGCCCCACCGAAAGCGGCACCCACAACGCGTTACCAACAATTGCTTATGGTTGAGTCTTTCGCCAAGATAATTTTTGTGGGGGGATACGCGTATGTAACATGTGTAAATACATGTGTGTATATATATATAGGTACACGTACATACATACATATGCTTAATGTTGGTATTACATGTATGTGTAACTATATGCGTACCAGGCATATATGCATAAATATCTGTGCATATATATATATATATATATCCGTCTCCCCGCGCACATATATGTTCCATCGTATCGCTCTCTCGTTTGCTGTTCTGCTTCTCTCTCTCTCTCTCTCTCTTCCTTTATGTTTCTCTCTCTCTCTCTCTCTCTTTCTTTGTTTTGTTGTTTGTTTATCTTTCTCTCTCTCTCTCTATCCCTTTCCTGCTCTCTCTCTCTCTCTCTATACATGTACATTTATATATGTATATGTGTATGTGGGTATATGTACGCCTCCTTTCGCTTAACCTCTATGCCTCCGTGCCTGTCTCTAGTTCTGAGGTTGGTTGTCTTCCCCCCTCTCTGTCTCTCTCTCTTTCTCTCTCTTTCTCTCTCCCTCTCTCTCTCTCTCCCCCTCCCTCTCTCTCTATCCCTCGCTCTCTCTCTCTCTCTCCCTCTGTCTCTTTCTTTCTTCCCCGGTAGTATATCAGAGGGAGGGGGCCGAACGTCATTCACTGTCCCTGGGCGCGTGGCTGAAGCGATACTATGAGATAAGGATTGTTGTCGTTGTGGCTGTTGTTGTGGTTGTTGTTGGTGGCGGTGGTGTTGTTTGTTTGTTTGATTTTTGTTGATTGTTTGTTTGTGTGTTGACTGGTGTTGTTAGTGTTGTTGGTGTTGTTGCTGTTTGTGTGTTTGTTGTTTCGTTTGTTAGTTTATTGTTTGTTGCGTGTTGCTTGTTATATGTTGTTTGTTGTCGTCGCCCCCCCGCGACCCATCCACGACCCGCCTGCGATCCACCCGCGACCAACCTGCGACCCACCCGTGACCCGCCCGCGACCCACCCGCGACCCACCCGCGACCCACCGACGATCCACCCGCGACCCACCCGCGACCTTGCCCGCAACCCACCCCCCACCCGCGACCCCACCGCGACCGAACCCGTGACCCACCCACATTGCTCTAACGAAAAAATTAGCGCCTGCGGCGGGCTCGTTGCACAGCTTGTCAAAAGTATGCGCCTGCGGCGGTCTTCTTCAGAGCCTCGCGGACTGCCGACGCCCCCGCCGCTCCCTCACTCTTATCCGCAATTGCGGGGCGTTGCGTACTCCGGATTCCATAATAAAGTGGGGGGGTCACATTTGGGGGGGGGTCTGATTAGAGCTGTCTCGGACGGTTCGGGGGGGTCTGGGCGAAGGGCCGCCCTTTCATGGATGGTCTGGGGGGGTCTAAGACTTCTCGTCTGGGAGGATTATGACCCCCTCCCTTTTATTACGAAATCTGGAGTATTTTCTTTTACCCGGAACCCTGCCCTGGAGGCCGTGGGGCCGAAGCACACCAGGGGCACCCGGGGTGCATTGAGCGCCCCCGCCCCTCCTCCCGGAGCCTCCCCGGGTCGTTCCCGGGGCTTCCTCGGAGCATTCCCCGAAGCCGCGGGGACCCTTGGTAGCAGTTCTGGGCGCCCCACCAAGAGGACCCCAAGAAACCCAAGCTGGCCCCAAGACGGCCCAAGAGGCGCCCAAGACGGCCCACTTTCCTTTCCTCTTTTCTCATGTTTCCTCCTCCCCCTCCTCCTCCTCCTCCTCCCCCTCCTCCTCCTCCTCATTATCCTCATCCCCTTTCCTGATCCGTCCTCTTAGCGATTTTGGTCCAATGAAGCCGGCTGCGAGTTTTCTCCATCGCCATTCCCACGCCGATGGGTGGTCCTCTCATCGCTGCCGTGCGTGCCATTGGCCGCCGATTCTTTTTTTCCGTGGACAATACCTCGGTCTACGCCATGGCCATAACATCAGCTGTCGCTCTTCACGATGCGGCCCGGCTTTGCCACGTCAAGGGGCCAGACCACCCCGCTACCGAGAGTCGCGCGCAATACGTTCCTCGTGGTCTCCGCCTTCATCACGACCGCGAAGTTCTTCATCAGCTCCAACGGCGGGATCAATTCTCAGACATTGCCGAGGACGCTTCAGAGTCTGGCCGCTTCTCGCCGCCATGAACCGAAACGCTAGTTTGCACAAGGCCTGGACCTCCACCATGGCATTCAAGTTCAGAGGCGATTCTCAAGCTCAAGGTCAGCCTGCTGTTCGTGCTCATGGCAACGGAACGTCGGAGTTTCGGACGCCCGCGCATCCAGGTTCCAACCGTATTTTGGAGGACGCGGTGCGCAAGGGTGCGCAGCTGGCGAGTCTGTGCAGACGGTTGCTTTTGGAGGGTTTCTCCTTGGCGCCGACGCTGTATTTCATTCGTCTTCCACCCTGGCTCAGTTGCGGTCGGATCTGCAGAAGCTAGAGCCCGCACTTGCCGCAAGCGAACAACAACGACGGGAAGACCAACGTGACCTCGATGACCTCGTCAAGCATGTCAGCAACCAGAACGTAGAGTTCAAGCAGGGCCTTTCTGCGGTTATCGCCGCGGCCGAGCTCCAGTTCACCAACACCGTGGGCCAGCTGCAACAGCCGCTGAAGCAGGTCGCGCTGATGAGCGAGTCCACTGCCATCAACAAGTACCAAGGCGACCCCTTCGACTTGTCGCAGAGCGCGGCGATGGCGCACCTCTCCGTGAACTGTTTGCCCGACATTCATCAGGTCTCTGATACAGCCGCGAACGCCGACGCCGCGCCGCTTAGCGCGCCCGCCTCCACCGGCTCAGCGCTGAACAGCGTCCATACGCAGAGCGTCGACCAGAAGAGGCTCCCGCCCGACGAAAGGACCTGCAATCCATCAGCGCTGCTGCCTACAGCGGCATACCCGAGTTCGACGTCATCACCGACAAGCGAAAGGACCCTGCACCGCCATGCGTGTGAACGCCGAGCCCGCGCCCAAGCGCGCCACCGACTCCAGCGACCTGTTGCCGATCAGCTTTCAGTACCACTGCGACGACATGATGGCCGAATGGTAATCGCTGGAGAAGGGGTTCCCGCTTGACAAAAATAATTTGCACTCCATCATCACTGCCGCCGCCCGCGTGATTTCCGAGTTCGGCGCCATCGCCGACAAGCGCAAGGCACCGACCCTCGCCAGGTCTGTGGTTGAGGATCCTGCGCTCAACGACGCAATCGTCTCCGACGACCTGCTGTCGATCATCACGCAGAGCCACTGCGACGAACTACTGAACTCCCCGCATGGCGGCTCGCAGGACATGACCGGAGTACAGGACTCGTTCGATTAATCTTCGCTGGAGGACCTCGTCAGCACCGCACTGTGCTACGGCGATGTTGATGGCGGCTCCACCACGTCGGACTACCCCCAAGCAAACATGGAGGCAGACGCCGAGCTCTTCGCCACCAGCGATTCCGAGAGCAGCGGCTTCCCCACTTCTGGTTTTCACACCTCCTACAAGATGAACATCGGCTGCTGCACCGCCCCGCCCGCCTCGCGCGCGCAGCCGTTCGAGGCCCGTCGGACGTCCCCGCAAGGCGATGGCCGCTCCTCCTCCTCCTCCTCCTCCTCCTCTCCTCCTCCTCCTCGTCCTCCTCCTCGTCTTCGTCCTCCCCCTCCTCCTCATCCTCCTCCTCCTCTTCCTCCTCCTCCTCCTCCTCCTCCTCCTCCTCCTTCTCCTCCTATTCCCCCGTCTTCCCCCATCCCCCCTCGGAGCTCCCCCAGAGACTCCCTGTGCAGATGAGCAGGAGGGCCCCGCGACGGTCCCAGGAGACCCCTCGGTTGCCTCAGGAAGCTTTCGACAGCACAGCGAGGCCCCACGAGGTCGCCAGAGTACCTACACAGGGCCTTCAAGAAAACAGTTCCCGTGTTATCTCTTTGTTCCCAAAGGACCAATCCAACAAGGAACCACTTCGCTTTTTAATGGAATTTCTATGCGTTGCGAAAGTGTGGCCCAAAGGTGGCCTCGGAGGCCCAGGTGGTTCCGAGGATAAGCGCATTAGCGGTTAAGGATAGCATAGGGCTGCCGCGAATACCACGCCTCAGTGCGAATCAGACACCAGTTCGCGGGCGGCTCGTATTGATCATTCGTGCTTCCCCTCTTGGGGCCCTCTTGGGCGATCTTGGGCGCCTCTGGGGCAGTTGTGGGGCATTCTTGAACCGTTTTGGCGCCCTCTTGGGGGTCTCTCGGGCCGATTCGGGGCGGTTTGGGGGGCCTTTGGGGCCATCTTGGAGCGTTGGATGCCCGAAAACGCTGGAACGCGAAACGCATTAAACACACAAGGACACTCAATGATGTTTGCTTCGTTTGGCCCTCTTTGGGGTCCTCTTGGGGCGCCCTTTGGGTTTCCTTGGGGCCGTTTGGGGGCTGTCTTGGGCGATTTGAAGCGCTCTTGTCGTGCCCGGGAGGCCTCCAGGACCATCTGCAGGGCCTCTTGGGGGCCCTCTGGGCCGCTCCTAGGGGCTCTTGGGGGGGGGGGCCCGGAGGGCGGCGCCCGGGAGCAGAACCATCTCTGGTCGGACCTTGCCGGGGACCGGCCCGTGGCACTCCAGCTTTCGTAAGAAAAGGGAGGGGGTCTCAACCCTCCCAGCCGAGAGGTTTTAGACCCCCCCCCCCTGGGAGAACCCTCCGGAACATCGTCCCCCCCCCCCCCCCCCAGGCCCTCCAAGATAGCTTGGAAAAAAAAAACCCCTCCGAAATGAGACCCCCCTCCCTTTATTGCGAAATCTGGAGTACTCTTCGCCCGCGGACCCCCAGGGGCCACCCCGCGCGCGCGCGAACTAGAAATACGGTTGACCAGCTGCCGGATATTTTAGCACGCCTCTGGCCCGTTATGCTGGCGAATTGTCCTTTCTTGATTTGTGTGTGTTCTCTCTCTCTCTCTCTCGCTCTCTCTCTCTCTCTCTCGCTCGCGTTCTTTTTGTTGCTCTCTCTCTCTCTCTCTCTCTCAGTGTCTCTCTCTCTCTCTCTCGTTGTCTTTCTCTCTCTCTCTCTCCCTCTCTCTTCCTCTCTCTCTCTCTTGCTTTATTGCTCTTGTGCTCCCAATACAGACTGGTACCTCTCCATATGTCTCTCCCCTTCTCTCTCTCTCTCTTTCTCTCTGTCTCTCTCGCTGTCCTCCTCTCCCTCTCTCCTTCCCTGTAACCATCTCATATACATGTAGATCTCCATGTGGATATCTGTATCCATGAGCGTTCCTTTTCTCGCAGTACAACAGGCCCTGCTGATCCGCCCTCGCGTGTGCCAAGACCCAAGTTTTTGTGCCACGAATGCGAGTACATATTCGCGCGCTCGCTACAGGACGTAGGCCAATAGTGGGCTACATGCGGGAAACATGCGGGACAAAAGTTGGCCTGCCATCGTATCATCTACCTCTCACGCGCTACGGGGCTCCTACAGGCAGCATGTCGAATGTGCGGAGATCCCATGCACCTTCGGTTTATTGAGGCTCTTGAGTGAGATGTGAGAGGCATGATGACGGGTGCGTTCCGTGGCTGATGGGGAGGAACATCGCTGGCAGTCGCAGGGGTGAGCAGTTTTCAACACGTAATCTGGAATGTCAGTGATGCTACCAACCATGAGGATCCCGTAGATCATTTTCAGAGGCAAGACCAGGCAACACGTGACCGATCGACCTGGGGGCAAGTACCGCACGCACGCAGATTGCCATTTCGCAGCGCAAGTGCGCAGGGTATTGGACGGCCACCCAGAACAAGGGGCAAACTCGGGGTGCCTCAGGCCATGGTCGAAGGTTTCAGTTTGTATGAACACGTTTGCAGACGCCACATCGCCACCTCTCCATCCGAAGTCTTGCACTCCATGTTCCAGTTGTCGTGTGTAGTCAATACGAGTTGCAGATGGAAGCAAACAGCCATATACAATTGAAGATGTCCTAGTGTTGTCATGGATTGCCCTCCGAGGTTCTCCAATCGTGGCTTGGTAACATTGGGAGTTGCTACAGCAATGGCGAAGCGTGGCTACACTGATGTGGGTGGAGCAGGTTGCTGGGAGAAACGTTGGTTGATCGGAGGAAAATGGAGTGGGAGAAGGTTGGTGGGATGAAACAGGAACCCATGTATCGCCTCACTCCTTCTCCTTCTCCCCTCCCTCTCGTGCGAGTTTTCTTGTCAAGACCCACCGCCCCGGCTGCGCACAAGCGGGCGCCAGGTCCTCGGGCCTAGTTTCTCCAGAGGCGTGGGCACAGCCGTCGTCGTCGGCGTTGCCGCCAGATGGCAAGGTGGACAAGGGTACAGTCGGACTGAGGCATAAGGTCGAGGTCGGTTCGGGGAGGGTACCCTAGTGTTCTTCGTGTTTGATGGGTGTTCTTGTGCATCCTGGAGAGGGTACTCTCGGATGTTCTATGTGCTTTGGCCGAGGGAGGGTCTCATGCTATTGAGGGATGTTCTTCTGGCCTAGGTCCGACCGGAAGGAAGAGGAGGACAATGATGATGATGATGAGGAGGAGGAGGAGGAGGAACCGCAGCAGCATGAGGAGGTGAAGGCAGAGGAGGGAATCGGCGACGAGAAGGAGGGCGAAGAGGCGGACCAGCAGATCGGGAGGCGCAGGAGCAGCAGCCGCAGGAGCGCGACGCCGAGGAAGAGCAGGCAGAGGACGAGCTCCAGGAGGACTGCGACGAGGCCCCGCGAGGCCCCGCCTGGGTGCGCGAGGTCCCGCGAGGTCCGCTGCTATGACGAGGAGATCGGCCCGTCGCCTCCGCCGCCGCCGCCGCGCCGCGGCCGGGCGGCGGCGCCCGCGGGCAGGCGGCGATGCCCTCGCCCACGCGGACGGCAGCGGCGCGCCCGGCGCCCGGCGAGCCGCGGGCCCAGCAGAGCCCGCGGGCGCGCGGCGGGTGGCCACCGCCGCGGTGTTCGGGGGCGGAAAAGAGGGGGGTGATGACTAGGGGGAGGTGGATATCATGGCGTGGGCCATGATATTTCCACAGATTTCATGGCGCCTCTTCTTATTTCATTACGTCCCTGGCCCCCCCGCTGGGCCGCGCACATGCCGCCGGTCATGATTTGCACCCCCCCCTCTTGGACCCCCCCCTCTTGGCCGCTCCCGAGGTGTGGAACTCAGAAGAGGTACCCAAAGTTCGCCCAAAGTTCGCTCCCCCGTGCCTCTTCGTGGCGATTCGCACCCGCAGACACCCCGTGGGTAATGAGATGTACAGGGGGCGAACGGGGGTGGTCACTATGATCCGCGGCGTGAGGTTACCCGCCGCCGTGCACTCGGAGGAGGAGGAGGTACCCATACCGGTACCCTTCGGCCGTTTTACCCTTCTTGGGCCTCCTGGGAGGCTCTCGTCTCCAGGCCTCCTAGATGGGGTCGGAGCAGATGGAGTGGGAGGATCGCGCCGCATCGCCGATGCATCGCCGGCGCGGCTCGAGGCGCAGCCCGGGTTGCTTCACGTCGACTTCGCCGATGCATCCTTGACGTCGACGATGCATCGCCGGCACATCGCGCACGCATCGCCGATGCATCGCCGATGCATCGCCGATGTATCGGCGATGCGGCGCGATCCTCTGACCCCATCTACTCTTTAAGTCGGGCATGTCGCGTGCGCGTTGTCGCGCGCGCGTGCCGAAATCCTTCGAACACCTCTGGTGTCGTAAAGATTAAACATGGTCGACCCACGAACCCGGAAAGGAATATAGAAAGGTAAGGCATTGCAACATTTCAAAGACACCTGATTGGGCGACGGGCACATGCAATGCTGAATGTATCGATGATGATGTACTGTGCCGAGGGCTGTGCTGTGCTATGCCGTGCTGAACTGCGATGTGCCATGCCGCGATTGTGCTCTATATAGCGTTGTGGATCGAGTCCTCCCTGGCATCCGAGTCCTCACCGGACTGTTCTGGAGCGTAAGCTCGAGCTGCCTGAGCAGATGGTAGCTGCCCCAGAACTAATCGACAGAGGGAACATGCCAGGAGGACGCACCGCGGAACGTCCCAAGGGACGCGCCAGGCGACGTGCCAGGGGACGTGCCATGGGCACGCACCGCGGGACGTGCCAAGGGGACGCGCTATGGAACGTGCCAGTGGACGTGCCGAGGGACGTGCCAGGGGGACGCGCCGCGCGACGTGCCAGGTGGACTCGCCACGGAACGCGCCAAGGAACGTGCCAAGGTGCATGGTTGAGTGTATCGATCTTGATGTACCGTGCCGACGGCTGTGCTGTGCTGGGCCGTGCTGAACTGCGATGTGCCATGCCGCGATTGTGCTCTATATAGCGTTGTGGATCGAGTCCTCCCTGGCATCCGAGTCCTCACCAAACTGATCTGGAGCGTAAGCTCGAGCTGCCTGAGCAGATGGTAGCTGCCCCAGAACTAATCGACAGAGGGAACATGCCAAGAGGACGCGCCGCGGAACGTCCCAAGGGACGCGCCAGGCGACGTGCCAGGGGACGTGCCATGGGCACGCACCGCGGGACGTGCCAAGGGGACGCGCTACGGAACGTGCCAATGGACGTGCACCGCGCGACGTGCCAGGGGGACTCGCCACGGGACGCTCCGCGGAACGTGCCAGGCAACATGCCAGGCTGCAATGCTAAGGGTATCGGGTATCGATATTGATGTACCGTGCCGAGGGCTGTGCTGTGCCTGGGCGACCTGGACACGTGAAAACACGCGTTTCGCTCAAGACGTTGTCAGTACATCATCATGCTAGACATCCGCCTGAGCAATCTGGACACGTGCAAACAAGCGTCTCGCTCGAGACATCCTCAACAAATGCTAATGCTAGACATCCGCCTGGGCGACCTGGACACATGAAAACAAGCCTCTGGTTCGAGACATCCTGAACAAATCCTCATGCTAGACATCTGTCTGGGCCACCTGGAGGCGTGAAACCAAGCGTCTCGCTCGAGACATCCTCAAGACCTGGGCACGTGAAAACAAGCAATCCACTTGAGAGATCCTCAGAATTCAGTTCCCCAGGAGAGGACAATCTATAACACAAAACAAGCGTTTCGCTCGAGACATCCTCATCAAATTCTGAAAAACATGCGTTTTGCTCGAGACATCCTCAAAGTTTGATTCGCCGGCACTACGCGACTTCGTTATTTATCGTAAAAGAAATTCGCCGGCCCTACAGCCGTCGAACCCGGGGGTAAACCTACTAAAAGAGAACCCTGGGCTCGAGCCCTTTCCGGGAAAAATTAAGTGTCCAAAACACATGTAATAGCACATGATTTCCCAACACTGGTTTTTCAGAAACATAAACTTGCGCGCGCTCTTGCGAATCCTTTAGAGAACCATCGTTGTTTTCATCATGTTCAGAAAATGCTTCCAAACGGGTTTCGCGCGCGCATGTCGAAATCGTTCGAACACCCTTGCGCGCGTGCCGTCGCGAGAATATTTTTGTTGCCCCCCCCAAAAAAACGAAGTGCACGCGCGCGCGTCGTCGCGCGCGCATGCCGAAATCCGTCAAAAACTTTCGGTGTCGTAACGATGTCAAAACTCAATGTTCAAAACACATGTAAACACACAGGATTTCGCACCATCAGTTTTCAACACAACAAAACGTGCGCTCGGGCCCTTGCGCCCTTGCTTTTTTTTTTAAAAAAAAAAAAGAAAAAAAAGAAAAAACAAAACATGATCGACCCACGAACCCGGAAAGGAATGTAGAACTGTAACACATGGCAGCGTTTTCAAAGACACCTGATTGGGTGACTGCCAAGTTGCAATGCTGAGTGTATCGACCTTGATGTACCGTGCCGAGGGTTGTGCTGTGCTGCGCCGTGCTGAATTGCGATGTGCCATGGCGCGATTGTGCTCTATAGCCTCGTGGATCGAGTCCTCCTTTGCATCCGAGTCCTGACCGAACTGATCTGGATCTTAAGCTCGAGCTGCCTGAACACATAGTAGCTGCCCCAGAGCTAATGGACAGGGGACCATGCCAGGAGGACGCGACGCAGAACGTTTCAAGGGACGCGCCAAGCGACGTGCCAAGGGACGTGCCATGGGGACGCACCGCGGGACGTGCCAAGGGGACGCGCTACGGAACGTGCTGGGACAAGCGTTTCGCTCGAGACATCCTGTCAAAATCATATGAATTCCTACGCGCGAGACGTTGCACGCGCGAGACATCCTCGGAATTCCTGCGAGCGGGACGTGAAAACAAGCATTTCGCCTGAGACATCCTTTGAATTCTGGCCCCCCCCGAGGCCACCGCTCGAGACATCCTCCAATTTTGCAAAACCAGCGTTTCGCTCGAGACATCCTCAACAAATTATGAAAAAACAAGCGTTTCGCTCGAGACATCCTGTCAAAACCCCAAGAATCCAAATACCCGCGCGCGGGACGCGGCACGCGCGAGACATCCTTGGAATTCCCAAGGGATGCGCCAGGCGACGTGCCAGGGGACGTGCCATGGGGTCGCACCGCGGGACGTGCCAAGGGGACGCGCTACGGAACGTGCCAATGGATGTGCCACGGGATGTGCCAGGGGACGCGCCACGCGACGTGCCAGGGGGACTCGCCGAGGGACGCCCCACGGAACGTGCCAAGGAACGTGCCAAATTGCAATGCTGAGTGTATCGATCTTGATGTACCGTGCCGAGGGCTGTGCTGTGCTGCGCCGTGCTGAATTGCGATGTGCCATGGCGCGATTGTGCTCTATAGCCTCGTGGATCGAGTCCTCCTTTGCATCCGAGTCCTGACCGAACTGATCTGGATCTTAAGCTCGAGCTGCCTGAACACATAGTAGCTGCCCCAGAGCTAATGGACAGGGGACCATGCCAGGAGGACGCGACGCAGAACGTTCAAGGGACGCGCCAAGCGACGTGCCAAGGGACGTGCCATGGGGACGCACCGCGGGACGTGCCAAGGGGACGCGCTACGGAACGTGCTGGGGACAAGCGTTTCGCTCGAGACATCCTGTCAAAATCATCTGAATTCCTACGCGCGGGACGCTGCACGCGCGAGACATCCTCGGAATTCCTGCGAGCGGGACGTGAAAACAAGCATTTCGCCTGAGACATCCTTTGAATTCTGGCCCCCCACGAGGCCACCGCTCGAGACATCCTCCAATTTTGCAAAACCAGCGTTTCGCTCGAGACATCCTCAACAAATTATGAAAAACAAGCGTTTCGCTCGAGACATCCTGTCAAAATCCCAAGAAATCCAAATACCCGCGCGCGGGACGCGGCACGCGCGAGACATCCTTGGAATTCCTGCGCGAGGGGCGCTTTTCCGTGTCGCGGTCGGCTCTGCAAAACCAGCGTGTCGCTCGAGACATCCTCAACAAATTCTGAAACCAAGCGTTTCGCCCGAGACATCCCCAACTCTGCAAAACCAGCGTCTCGCTCGAGACATCCTCAACAAATATTGAAAAACAAGCGTTTCGCTCGAGACATCCTCAAAAATAATCTCGCCGGCCCAAGTCGCAGGGGGGCCGGGGGGTTAACCTACTAAAAGAGAACCCTGGGCCCGCGCCCTTTCCGGGGAAAATAAATAAATAAAAAAACATAGTTTCTGTTCCAATATTTACACCGAATTGTGCCAAACGGACCTCTTGCGACGCATGCCGAAATCATTCGCACGCCCTTGCGCGCGTTCTGGGGAGGGCACGATCCGTGTGAAACAAAGCATGCGGGCCACTCTCGCGCGTCGGCCGCGCGCGCACGTCGAACTCTTTCCAACACCTGCATCACCGACGCGGAGACG